CTGGTTTAAGTCTTCAGCTTGTTTTAGTTAACTGGTTGGGTTAAAATAACATTAGTTGAACTCATTCAAACATTTCTAAGCATTAGGTGATGAATAAATATAACTGAAAATCGATCATTTCATCAATTATAATGTAAATCTATAATTTGTAAAAAAGGAGAGCAGTCTGAATACTTAAAGTGATTGCATGTCTATCATGTTAAAGTTACTGCTACGTTGCGTAACACATTTTTGTAAGAGCTACATGAAAACACATCTAATTGTGTTTAGTAACACGCCTCTAGCGACTCTACAATAAAATCAGGGAAGGGGGAATTTGCCTACAGAACTGTTGTAACCACAACTTCCAACCTAAAATATATTTATATTTCCAAGAAGTATGTTCCAAATGGCATGTCCACAGTAGCATGACAATTATCAGCAAACGAGCTCAGTCGTCTGACCATGATCACAATAAAAGCCAAACAATAAGGGTATTCCTCACTAACCATTATGCCCTGAATCACCTTTTCACATGCATGTATAATAAACTCAACATAAAGAAAATAAATTACAACTATAATCACTATGTGTACAGTAAGTGTACATCAAATACACCACTTTGTCTACAGTACATACAAAAAATAACGTTTCTGAGCAAAACATGAACCCCAGCAGGATCTTTAAATATGTAAACATGAAATAAGAAACAGTGTGTATAAAATACTATACAGGTGCTGTAAGTCTGAAGATAGTCCAGTTATCTTTTTTCTGTCCTTTTTTCTGGGGAAATAAAAGGATAGAGCCTTTTCTTCAGACGAGTCCATTGGATTTCTTTCCCACAGCACAACCGTGATGCCCACATGTTCATTTGGACCTAACATGCTAGTAAATAAAGTCTTTGCACATGTACAGTGGGTCTCAGTCCTTTCTTTGGCACAGCCGTTGCAGTCTTTACGCGAGCAAGTCAGTTTCTTTTTTGACATTCATCTTCTGAGTCGAGATGAATCGCTGAAACGAGTATATTTATGTGTATATGTACTTGTATTACCCCGCTGCTGGCAATTTTGGTGTGAAATTAAGAACATGAAGATGTACTGGTGACTGACACAAAACAGCTCAGACTGGTTGGTATATCATAGTAAAATGTCAAACAGCCGTCTGGCAGTCTGGACGCTGCAAAACAAACAAAACAAACAAATAAAATGCTACTTAGAAAATAAATAAGTAAGTTTTAGTCCCAGCAACACATTTTCTCCATCCTTTAAATATCAACCTGTATTTACTCATCAGTGTCAAAACACTTTCTACTTTCATAGTTTCTTAGTTTGAGCGCACTGGAGCCTGTTGGGGGGCCCTAGAGCAGGGAACTGGTGGGGCTGCCGGGCAGTGGGGGGCTGCAGCTGTTCAGGGTGAGGCTGTGGCTGTGGGAGGGGCTGGGGCGCATTGGCAGCAGGTCGTAGTGGCTCGGGATGTGGCTGTTCCTGGGGAGGTCGTAGGGGTTCTGAGGGTAACTGGGAACCACTGCAGCACCACTTGCCGGCACGATACTTATGGTTGGTTCTGGGGGAACAAAAACCAAGAGAGTGGGTCTTTTATTTCATTTATATAATTTACACAATGCAAAGCTGTTGTCAACAAAGAAAATGAGTTTTCTTCTGCCTTATTTCAATCAAGTCCAAACTTAGTAAAATGTACTACAGGCATCAAATTCAAACACTTGAACCACAGAGTGTCATAATCCTGTGATAACGTCATCCTCCCCCTGGCGTCTGGCCCCATTCCAGATTGCTTGAAAACAGCCAGTGTCTATCCTTGGATCCCACTGTTTTTATAATTATAGACCAATTTCCAAACTCCTGTTTATTTTCAAAATCCTTGAGAAAGTTGTTGCTCTTCAGCTCCTTCAAATTATTGTAGGAAACAACATCTTTGATAAATTCTCTTGTAATAATTAGGGATGGGAAATACTTTGGTGAGTAATTTGCTTCATGCTGTGTAGGGATGGGTACCGGTATGGCACAGGTTCTGTCATAAACGGTAGTAACCAGACCGAAAAGCAGC